TCCGGGGTCAGGTACTCAGTTTACATGGTCTCTTCATCATTGTCGCTCCAGCTTCCGCTGGAGGACACATTGCTGCTGCATTGTCACTGTCGCTGTCCTCCGTTCCACTCATCTGTTCCTCTTCTCCGCTGCCATTGCTCTCTTCTTACCTTGGTGGGGGTTGTATGGTCCTGTGCCACGTGTCCCTGTGCCAGGTGGCGTTCACTACGTCTTCTCCATCCTCTGCTACCGATTTCTGGTGATAGGTCCGGAGTTCTCTCAGCGCCATCTTCACACAGCCCACTACCTCTACGTCCATTTGTCTGTAGAGGAGCAGGTCCCTGGCCTTCCATAAGGCACTCCTGACACAGGATGCAAACTGGTCACATCCGAGCGAGGGGCTCCCCTGGTTTTTGGTGAGATGCCCGTACAGCACAGCCTTGCTAGTTAGCCGGCTGATGCCAGTCACTGCTTTGCAGAGCTGCTGTACCTTCTTCCATATGTCCTTGGCGCAGGTGCAGAGTCACAGGAGGTGTTCTATTGTCTCGGTGGCCCCGTGGCAGTTGGGCCACGGGCAGCTGTGTCTCCCCAACTGCCCCTCTCTATGTCTCTGGGCCCTCAGCGGGAGGGCTCGGTGAGCTATAAGCCAATGTAGATCCCTGTGATTTTTGTGCAGTTCCTTGCGGTGGATGCGCTCCCACACGGCTTGGCATGTGTCGCCCGGGAGCAGGTCCACGGGTGACATGGTGTCCGGTAGTCTCACCATCTCCTGAATCTTCCTGTGACTTTTCATGGTCGCTGGGCCCATGTTCTGCAGGCTGTACACGTCATGGCATCGGTTCAAGGTTTCGTAGAACCAGGATGGTTCCGTGATCCATGGCCTGTGGTTAGTCGGGGTGAAGACCCGCCAGTGTCTCAGAATGTGCCCTGCAAAGCATCTCATGAGACATGCCATTTTGGTATCTGCCTCCATTGCCAGCTTACAGATCATGCTCACGTACTTGGCCCACAGGAACAGGAGGGTCTCTGGCAGGCCCCTGCCCCCGGCCCTCTTGTCCATGTATGGCATCTCCCAGGCGACCTTTTCCCACCTGGAGCCCTAGAAGAAAGTGCACATGGCCCTCTGGATCCCGTGGGTGATGCGCTCGGAAGGGGGGAAGCCCGGTGTACAGAAGCACCGGTAACAACACTGTCTTCACAAGTGCAACGCACCCCCCCATGGAGAGGGACCGCAAGTGCCACAGCCCCAGTTTCTGTTTTGCCTTGGCCTCTGTCTTCTCCCATGCTGTTCTGCTGCTCAGCTCCGGTTTGAAATCTATCCCCAGGATCCTGACCCCCTCACGGGGTACAGAAACCCCCGGGGAGTCCAGGTCCCTGACCTCGCCCACAGCCAGGCAGGTGCTCTTGCTGACGTTCAGCTTGGCCCCCACTACCACCTCGTACACTTACAGTATACACACATACTGAGTGGTTCTGAGCTGTGAAGTCACCATGGCTTGAAATGCTGTCGACTCTGCGGGGCTCAATCCAATGTACTATATGGTAAATTATGAGCCTTTTGGAATTGAACTAATATCATGGATTAAGTAGGTGCCAAAGTGCTGCTTTATAGTGTGCTTATGGAGTGTACCTGTGCTAAAACTTGCAGCAATTTCAAAAAAGGTACAACGTATCAATTCTGAATGAGCTAAGTCTATGGGAACTATATGTAGATGTTTACAGGCATGTTTATTTCAAGGTCAGTTATTTCAAATTTGCTTTTTACTTCCATGTGCACATGGAAATCAGGGTCTGATTGTAAGGAGGGGGGAAGTGACTGCAGGGGCAAGAAATTGGGCGGCGGGGGGAGAGGCTACCTGAACCCCCAGATTTATTTTCCCTGCTGTAGCAGTAGGAGGGAGATAAATTCAAAACAAAATTCCAAAAATTAGATTCCATACCTGAAAAATTGTATCAAATTTATAATATATTATATATATATATAAATTTATAAATATATTATATTTTCCATATATAGAATCTAATTATTGGGGTTGTTCTTCTGTTCAGGGTCATCTTATATTCAAGTACGTGTGGTAATCAGTTCCAGTACTTAACTATCTTTACATGTAGAAATCCCCTCTCCTCTCCTCTCCTCTCCTCTCCTCCCTTCCCTCCCTACCTTCCTAGAAAAACTTGAATTTCCTTGCTGCAGTTTAAGCCTGTGCTTTTTTTTTTGTCCTATTCCCATTGAGCATGGTGAGCAGTTTATACCTATCTTCAAAAATGTCAAAGGTTATTACAAAGAAGTTTATCATGTTTCCACTCAATCTTCTTCTCTACAGACACCAATATCTGAAATGTGTAATTACATGATGCAATATCTTGCACTGGTGATTAGATTATAACTGGTGTATGTGGTTTTCATGTTCTTTATATCTGTAAAACAAAATCACTTGGTCAGAAAAAGCTGCCAGCTGAGGTTTTGAAATCCCTTTAGCTGGAGCTACTCATAAGTAGATTCTGATACAGTTTAGGTCAGCATTTGGAAATTCTATTTGCTGGAAAAAGATTAAATAGATCCAGTAGACATATCATTTAAATCTGGTGATTGCTGTAGACAGAATGTTTGCAGCTGTGCACATCTATTTGGTAGAGTGGTAAAGAATATGACACCCTGGTCTGCAAATCATAACCAAGCTAGGAAAATTTGCTTATCCTGTTTTGTTTATATACCAAACATCTTGTTAGATTGTTACCTAACAAGTGATATTTCTGCAGTAAATAAACTGAATGTTTCCTTATGTTATCCTAAAATTTTTCTTATGGAAGAAGGTGATTTAGAATCCGCACCTTAGTGTTACTGAAAACCTAATTTTGTTATCATTTGCTGTATAAAGCAATACTGACTTGATTTTTTAATTATTTTTATTTTCATAGGATATTTGGCTTCCTGGAGAAAAAAGTAGAAAATGCAAAACGAAATAATAAAGCCTGCTAAATACTTCTCTGAAGTGGAAAAGAGTGTGCTACTTGCATTAGTTGAAAAGTACAGATATGTACTTGAATGTAAAAAAAGTGATGCAAGAACTATTGCATTGAAACAACGTACTTGGCAAGCACTTGCCCATGAATATAATTCTCAGCCTAGTGTGTCACTAAGAGATTTCAAGCAGTTAAAGAAATGCTGGGAAAATATCAAAGCACGGACAAAAAAGATAATGGCACATGAAAGACGGGAGAAAGTAAAAAGAAGCATTAGTCCTCTTATAAATACTCACATCATAGGAAAAGAGAAGATTGCCAGCATGATGCCTGAGCAAATGTACTTTTTACAGAGTCCGCCAGAAGAAGACTTTGAATATCAGCCTGATACTTCTAACCAAGGTATAAATGCTATGGTAGTGATCCAAACAACATTGGCTGCTTGCAAACATTTAAAAAAAATAAAAAGCAGCACTTTACTTTTAAACTCAGCGCACTCATGCACTGAGCCCAGCAGATCCCCAGAAGAGGCAGCGCGTTAGTTGGACCCAGCTCACCTAAAGTCTGTATATATTGGGTGCTTTAGTGGGGCTTTTTGGCACTTCTATCTAATAGCTGATTGAAACAGCTTTAGCTAAAAGTGCCAAAAAGCCCCACTGAAGCACCCAATCTGTATAGACGCTGCAGAGCCAGTTCAAAGTAACGTCCTGTGCTGCTGCTTCCAGTAAAGCACATTTCTTCTTCTTTTTTAATGTTTGCAAGCAATCACTGTTTTAGTAAAGGATGTATATGAATTTTCTTTATCGTTATTACTAATTCTTTCTGGGGTGTTTAAACTAGCAGTATAAATCTCTGTATTCAAAAATGCTGGCTGTACAAAAAATATTTCAGAACCATGATGCTGTGAGATTCTGTATTTCACTAAACCGTTTAGTAGTGAAATCTGATTTTGTTTATATAAGTTTGAAGAGACATTTTAAGCTCACCATTTATCACTTACACATGGATATGTCCAGTTTTCCAACATATTCTTTTACTTCCTCCATCATGCAGGCTCATCACAAAAGAGAAATCCTAAAAGGTTTTCATGGGTCTTTATAAACCTTTGTTCTAGCCCTTTTCATTGTATATACATTCTTTTGTAAAACAAAACTTTCACATTTATTTTAAAATAAGCAATTTCAGTGAAATAAATCTATTTTAAAAATAGAAAATAAAACAAAAACTACATATCCAATGTAGAACGTACTGTAGCAGCATGCAAGCTTCTAAATGAAACCAATTTCTATCCAAGGTTAAATTTTAATAGACAGCATATACTTTTCTTCCTAAAGGTTATTTCTAGAGAAAATTGAGAAATTCTGCACATAAATTTAATGCAACTGTTTCAGTATGGAATTAACATACATCCTAAATATGCAAGTCAAAAATTGGTTCAATAGTCTAGGTTTCTTAGTAATTATTTGGCCCATTTATATTCTGAAGAGAGGTGCCAAATGCATTCTGAAAGGAAATGCATTGTTCATTTTAAACCTATAGAAAATGTATCTATCATGACAAAGGCCTATACCAGGGGTGGGCAAGACATGGCCCACGGGCAGGATCTGGGACACCAACTGATTGGATATAGCCTGCTGACAGCAGGCAAGTGCCCACCAATTGATTGTATCCGGCCCGTGGTTGACTCTGTGGCATTCTGCATGGGGCCCAGGGCAGCCTGCGCTCCCACCTGCACCCGCTGACAGCCCCAGCCAGCAAGCACAGCTTCTTGGCAGGGCTACTCCTGGTGCAGCTGTAGCCACCTAGGTACTCCTCAGATGCCCCTGCCTCTAGCGGCTCCTTCTCTTCTTCCTCCTGCCCCTGCTGCACTGCTCCAGGTAGCAGGTAGCACAGGGGAGTGATGGCAGCTGTGGGGACACATGCCAGGCACCACACACTGATCCAGGCAGTGGGCAAGGTGCAGCGAGGCGGCTCCTGTCCCAGCATGTGGGACTCTGGCTCCAGCTCCCAGCTACCTGCAGGGGGCTGCTCATCGTGCTGGGTGGGTAGAATGTGTGGAAGGCAGCTGGGAGCTGGAGTTGGAGCCCTGTGTGCCAGGGCAGGAGCTGTCCAGCTACAGCTTCACCCCCATGTGGATGGGCATCTGCTGCCTGGCATGCAGCCCCATGGCTTCCCTACATTATCTGCTGCCTGGAGTGCTACAGCAGGGGAAGGAGGTGGATGGAGCTGAGCCATTGGAGGTGGAAAGAACTGAGCAGTACCTGGGTGGCTACAGCAGCAGCCCCATCAGGAAGGTGTGTGCACTGGCTGGCACCAGGGCGGTGCTGTCTGGCAGGCACAGGACAGGAGCAGGTGTGGGGTGCCATGGGTGGGAGTATGGTGCAGGCAGGGCTTGGTCCCATGCAGGCTGCTGCAGGGGCAGCTGCATGCCAGATGGAGTGAGGTGTGGAGACCACACCTGCACTGCACTGCCAAGTGAGCTGTGCTGCCCACACAGAATGGTCTAACCAGTGAGACTTTAGTTAATAAATACTCAGGCAGAAGACACTCACTGGCTAATGAAATATTACTGTTCAGTTTCGTTTATATTGACTTGTTACTAGGTAAAACCAATTCCTTACAAAAATAGAGACAGTGTATCATGGTTTGCCTTATGAAGATCGTTCTATAACCTAAAAAGTTTAAGAGGAGAAAGGATTTCTTAGGGTGATATCTTTATTGGACGAACTATGTAGTTGAGATAAAGTTAGCCATCTTTCTTTTTTTTCCTTAGGTTGTGGATTTTCCATTATAAGTTGGTCCAATAAATAATATCATCCTCCCACATAATTTCTGAATCATCATGGCTACAACATAACCCTTACACTGCCATTACAAAAAGTTTAACTGCATTGTTACATAACATTTCTCTAATCAAGATGGTACATTCATTTTTGCAATGTTTATTTTAATGGAACTTATATGGTCCTGATTTACAATGTTACTCCTGCTTTAGGAGTCATTTTTTACATCCTTATTTTTACACTGTGGGCATATTTACATAAGACATTTACTGTGCAGTTGCCTAATTAACTGCACAGAAAACATCTCTGCGATCTACATGTGCACCCTCTTAGAGTGCATGTAACTAACAAACTCCACAGCAGCATAGGACTTGTAAATAAAAGTCCTACCCTGCTGTAAGGTTTCTTCATGTTCAGCAGTGCACATGTAGACACTGAGCCAACTGGCTGGGTCACAAAAGTGCTTTGGTGCAGGGCCTGCCTGCTGCACTGAAACACCCTCCTGCCCCAGCTAGCCCCTCTGCAGCACATTGAGCCCGGCCAGAGCAGCTCTGGGCTAGCAGGTGGCTCCTTGGGCCCCCTGCCAGCCAGAGCTGCTGTGACCTGGTTCAATGTGCTACGCTCCAGGTGCATGTGTAAATTGTGTACCTGGGAGCAATAAATTGTGGAGCAATAAGCTCAGCAGTTTATTGCTGTCTCCTAATGGCACATATAGATGTGCCCACTGTGTATTATTTTACTCAATAAGAGGCACACCTACTCAAGACATTTACTGTGCAGTTGACTAATTAACTGCAGTAAATGTCTCGGCATCTACATATGTGCCCCTCTTAGGATGCACAAAACTAGTACACTCTGCAGCAGTGCAGTCTTGTAAAATACAAGTGCTACCTTATTGCAGAGTTTTTTTCATGCACAGCGGCACATGGGTAGATGCCGCCCTGGCTGGCTAGGCCACAGGGTTTCTCAGCATGGGGTTAGCTGGCAGACAGCCCTTGCACTGTGGCATCCTGTGCCCCAGGCAGCCACTCAGCAGCACATGGAGATGGGGTAGGGGTTGCTCTTCCTTTCTTCGTGTGCTGCCAAGTGGCTCAATGCAGGGTTCCTCAATGCAGGGGCTCCCTGCCAGCTAGCTCCACACTGAGGCACTTTGTGCCCCAACCAGCCAGGGCAGAATCTACATGTGTGCTGCTGCACACAAAAAAATCTCCAGAGCAATAAGGTCCAAAGTTTATTCATGCACATTAATCGCATGTATAGATACGCACAAGTAGTACAGTTAATTTCTGTGGAAATATCAGGGTATTTCTCAAAGCAAATCAAGTGGCATAATTAGCATAAAATGCATTCCTGTGGTGTGTATGACTGGTATTTTAAAGACCAAGTAATATGTCTTCTGTTTTATTGCAGATAGTAGCTCATCAACTGTGAATCTCCTAAAATTGGAGCGAGATTCAAACTCTTACACTTTAATGTTGTAAAGAGAACACAAGTATTGTAGATAAGATTATTATCTGGTGGCATCTAGATTATATTAAAGAAATGTACTGTTTATTTGGACTGATGGCTGTGTTTATTGCTTATACAGTAACTTTGCTTATGGAGAAAGGAACATTAATAGGACCTTTTTCTGTTTTTCAGTATCATTTGTTGTTTCAAATAAAGAACTATGTGATGAAGAGAGAGAATTGGTACATTTCCCAGTATGTGAAGGCACCTCTCAACCTGAGTCGTCCTATTCAGATGTCAGAATAGCAACAGATAAAAACTACAGAAGTAAAGCCACTCAGGAAAGTGCTTTGAAAAAGATGCAAGAGGAAGAACATCACCAGCAAATGTCAATTTTACAACTACAGCTGATACAAATGAATGAAGTGCATGTGGCAAAAATACAACAAATTGAAAGGGAATGTGAGATGGCTGAAGAGGAACACAGGATAAAAATGGAAGTGCTAAATAAAAAGAAAATGTATTGGGAGAGAAAACTCCAAACCATCACAAAAGAATGGCCTGTATCATCTTTTAACAGACCCTTTCCTAATTCACCCTAGAATTTATGGTGACAGAGATTCAGTCTAATTGAGCACAAGATAACTATGGTATATTGAATTGAGAGTCTGTTAAGATAAATGGAAGTTGTAGCAGAATGGCTGTCCACTCAATAATGAACATTTTTTTTTCCAGCTAGGAAAACAGATGTGGTGGGGTTCAATAAGGGCAAAGTCTAGTTCATTTGTGGGTAAATGAAAATTATTGCCCCCTATTCGACTTTGATATGCACATTAGTGCATTTAAAGGATGAGCATAATGTTTCTTTTCTTCAAATTCCCAGCCACCCATTTTTACAGTCAGGACATTCTCTTAGAGTAGACCTTACTTGAAAGTTTTTTGAAAATGCTCCAATTCCAGGTTTAGTTGCTTGCTTTCTAGTTTCTTTCTTGTTGGTTGAAAACAAGGGTTGGAGTTGCTTTTTAGTCTTACCCTGGAGAGAGGAGTAATCCACTGATATGCTGGGACAGGGATGGAGAGAGGAATTACTCTATTTTTTTATTTCCTCTCTGCAGCAGGTAGGTAAAAATGAAGGACATCATGAGGGGACCATTTCAGTAACTAATTTGCAGAGGAGAGAAGTCAGACCCTTCAACAAGATGGTTGATGGAGAAGATGCTTATGTACTGGTCTGCTAGCTGTTGGGGCCATGACAGAGGAGAAGAGGGAAAAAAAGAACTATTCTCTCCCAGGAGCTGCTCCTACTTCTGTCTACACCTTGCAGATGCTAGGCTGGTTAGAAGTAGGAAGCAAACTGCTGCAGCTGCTTCAGTGAGAAGCAGCCTCTAAAGGACACTGTTTACCTGTAGTTGTTCTGGGGAAGAGAAGCTTTGCTACATTATGAAATTCTTGAAAAGCAGTTGGCTACCCAGCCCATTAGCAGCTTCTTCTTCTACCTTGCAGTATTAGTCCATGACCTCAGTAGCCCAATCAGTGCATATGGGCCTTGTCCTCATTACAAGTGAGGATTGTGAATCCTGTTAGTCTCTACACCCCCATCCCACCCCCAACCATGCTGCACAGGGCAGGAGGAGGCTGAGGCAGATTCTCACTTCTTGGTACTATGTTTTAGCCTAGTATTTGTGTCAGTGCCTGTGAATTCTCTCTTGGTCCTGTCCCATGTGTTAGCCTAAAGCAATTTCTGCCTCTGCTGTCAGCTAAGGACCACTACTTTGATGATTTATTTGTATTAGAGTAGGATCTAGAGGCCCAAACAGGAATTGGAGCCCAATTATGTTAGGTGTGATACATATACATAAAAGACAGTCCCTGCTCCCAAGTGAAGCCAGGCCTGGAAAATCAGAAATATGATAGAAAATCTAAAGTTATAGAGTACAGGTTTTAGGAGTCTTTTCTCTGAAAAGGTGTTTTGGAGGAGGGGTATAGGAACATTTTTAAGGCTTGACAGAACATGAGCAAAAATAATACTCATATTTTTTAAGTTATGAATCTGAGAATCCTATTATTTTAAATGTTGTATTTCACAGATCTATACAATAGCAATATTTTCTAAGTTAAAGTGTGGATGGTACCCTCTTCCGTCCCAGTGGTCCTCTGATTACAGCCTTTTTTTTCGGATTTTCTTTCTGGCTTGAGTTTTCATTTTCACTTTTCTCTGGTTTGTTTTTCTGGCTTCAGTGCATGCCTGTCAGTTTTGTGCCTGTCAGTTATAATGCAGTGGCAGTGAATGGAGTGATATGAACTTTATCATATACGAGAAGCACAACTAAGCTCCTGCAGAAAGACCAAAAAGAATAGAGGTAAAATCTAAAGAGGCAAACCTACTGAATAGGGAAATTTCATTTTTTGTGTGGATTGAACTTTTCTCGTGTAGGAATGGAGCATAGAGTTTAAGAGGAGGGAGTAAGGTAAGAGAGTTTTACTTTGGTCCAAAAGAAACATCATAATAAATGACAGTATGCATAAGTCAATGAGTTGGGGAATGAAAGAAGAAAATGTGGTTGGGGAAGGTAATATTTTGGTGTAAGGTTTTGATCTCTGGCTTGGACTGCGTGATGGTGCTTTCACCTGGTGCATGCACCATCTACATCACCACTGAAAGAGGGTGGAATGAGGGATATGTCAAATTATCATACAAAATCATAGAATAGTAAAGTTGTGAGAGACTTCCTGCAGGACACCTAGTCCAGCCCGCTGCTCAAGGCAGGATCATCCCTGATTAAACTGTTCTAGTCAAGCATCTGTCTAACCTACTCTTAAACATCCAAGAATAGAAAGTCATAATCATTCTTGGTAGCCTATTCCAATACTTTAATAAACATCTTCCTAATCTCCAATGTAATTTTTTCCTGCTGTGATTTGGGACCATTTTTCTTAGTTCTGTCTCTTACAGCAACAGAGAATAATCTAGCTCCATCCTCCTTATAGCCACCCTTCAAGTTTCATAGTTTTGTAGACGTTAGGGTTGGAAGGGACCTCAGTAGATCATTGAGTCCAACACCCTGGCCTGGGCAGGAAAGAGTGCTGGGGTCATATGACCCCAGCCAGGTGCTTGTCCAGTCTCCTTTTAAAGACCCCCAGGGTAGAGCACCACCTCTCTTGGGAGCCCATTACAGAGTCTGGCAACTCTTACCATAAAGAAGTTCTTCCTGATGTCTAACTTAAATCTGCTCTCTGTCAGTTTGTGGCTATTGTTCCTGGTTATTCCATGGAGTGCCCTGGTAAAGAGAGCATCTCCTATTTCTTGCTGCTCCTCCTGATGAATTTGTAAAAGGTATTTACACTCTGTTACTAAATCCCCACCTCAGTCCAGACTAAATAATCCTAATTCTTCAGGATTCCTTCTTTTATAAGGAATGTTTCTCAGGTGTCTAATCATTTGTTTTCACTCTCCACTGTACTCTTTCTAATTTGTCCAGATATTTCTTAAAGCAAGGGTCCCAAAACTGAACCCAGTACTCCTGGTGAGGCCTCACCACTACTGAATAGAGTGGAAGAATCACTTGTCTTGATTTGCAAGTGACACTTTAGTGACTGGGGAACCCCACTTGATATCTCATCCCAACTAGACATTTAGGGCCTTTGTACACGCAATAAAATTGGTCTTTAACGCAGCTTAAATACCCTTTTGCACCGCTTTAGTGGTGTTGCTGTTACATGCTTGGCGGCATATTCCGCTTTACATGACTTTCTAATGTAGCAAGGTAAAACCCATCTGAGGTGTTCTAGTTTGCTACCTAACAAAGTCCAACGGTGCATGGGGCGCTGGGAGCTGACATGCTCAGGGAAGCTCGGGTTTAGCGGGCTTCCAGCATCCCGTCCACTGTCCCCGCCACTTTCTCCCGCCACCAGCACACCCAGCCATCCTCCTGGCACCTTGCAGCTGTACCCCAGGGACTAGCCAGCCCTTCCCAGGCAGTCCCAGGTAGCGGGAAGGGGGCGGGGGGTGTGGGAGCTTCCCTGCCTCTCCTGTGGTGGTGGTGGTGGGGGGGGGCGGAGCTGCTGGCTGGCTGAGTTGCAGGGGACCCCCGTGCTTCCCTCCATGGTGGCAGTGCCCCCCACATGGCACCCACCTACTGGCACCTGGCCTGGGCACCACCGCCACACAGGGAAGCACCAGGCCCTGTGCAGCTCGGGCAGGCAGGCTCTGGGAAAAAAAAAAAAAAGATCAGGCTCCTCACCGCTTTTTTTTTCCCCTCAGTCAAGCCTGCTTGCATGAGCTGCCACAGGTCGCACAGCCCCTGAGCTGTGCGGGGCCTCGTGCTTCCCGCCATGGTGGTGGCACCCCCAGGGACCGTCCAGGCTGAGTGCGAGCAGGTGGGTGCCGCCTGGGGGTGCTGCCGCTGCGAAGGAAAGCACTGGGCCCCGCACAGCTCAAGGACCACTCAGCCCACTGGCAGCTCGTCCTTCCCCCTCCCCCCACCAAGGGAGAGCCAAGTAGGCTGAGAAAAAAAAAGGATCAGGCCCCCTCACCCTTGTGCACACGACAGGGGGGTTAGTTCTCCTTAAATGGAAACAGTGGCTTTTAAAAAAACCCACTGTTTCAATTTAGAGAGAATTAAACCCCTGTTCTGTGTACAAGCACCCTTAACCATTGACCCGATGAGCGCAATGATTCACCAGTTATGTATCTACCTTGTAGTATTTTCATCTAGTCCACTGATTCCCATTTGGGGTGCAGCGAGATCCATTTAAGGGTACCACACTGCTGATGCCACCAGGTGGAACTGCTCTACTGTATCTCTGTGTTTCAGGATATGCCATTCAGGGCTAGTCTGGAAAATGGCTGTGGCAGGGGAGTCCCTGTATAGCATGGCCTGATAAGGAGGGACTGCCATGAAGCTGCTGCTACTGCTGCTGGCAGCCTGCGAGAGAGCCCAGACCAGCAATGCCACTATGACTGATAGGATACATAGGTGCTACCTCAGCCCCTGCTCTTCTTGGCAGTTGAGAGGCAACCCCTGGGCTTCATGCTTCAAGGCAAAGGGGTTGAGAGTGGGGGCATGCCTCCCTTGCATGAGGAAAGGACTCCCTCTGCCCACAACTGCAGGGAATGCTGCTAGAAGTTATACAGGATTTCCTCGCTTTATGCGGGTTCTGTATGTGCAAATTCGCTGTTATGCGTTGATCCTTTTTATACCAAAAATTTGTTATATGCTAGGTAAATTCACTCTTATGCGATGGGTGTGGTGGAAGCCCAAGCGCTTTGCTCTCTGCTGCAGCTGTGCCGCACCCCCTGCCTGCCCAGCAGTGGGACACACATGGCATCGCGTGGCTCTTGGGGCAGTGGGGCTCAAAGTGCAGCACTCAGTGGCAGCTGCCTCTGCCCCACACACAGATCGGGGGGCATGTGCCCCCTGGGCCTCCACTTGTCCTATCAGGGCCAGGGCCCCACTCACCCCACCCCCTGCTCCTGCCTGTGCCCTGCTCCCTCCCTCACTGCTGGGGCCTCGATCTGCTCCCCCCTCCCCGCCCTCAATGGAACATATCCCTATTTGTTACATTGTAAAGTGGGTTCCCTTTATGCAAATTTGAGTTATGCACCGTTTTCCAGGAACACAAGTACAGTATAAAGCGAGGGAAACCTGTAGAGGGTACCTTGAGTCTAAGAAGGCTGAGAAGCACTGACCTAGTCTGTGTTTCCTTAGCTTACTAGTGAGAATGTCATGGGAGACTTGTCAAAAGCCTTGCTAAAATTGAGGTGCATTATATCCGTTGCTCTTCCCATCCACAGAGCCTGTCACCTTATAGAATGAAAGGCATGACTTGCTTTTGGTGAATCCATGTTGGCTGTTCCTGATCACCTTGTTTTCTTCTGGGTGCCTAGAATAGACTCCTTGTTGAGTCTACAATCTTTCCTACAATTGAAGTCCAACTAACTGCTCTTTAACTTCCCAGATCCTTCTTCTTCACTTTCTTAAAGATGGGCACTATATTTGTCCTTTTCCAGTATCTAGGATCGCACCTGACCTCCATGAGTTCTTGAAGATGATGGCCAATGGCTCTGATATTTCATCAGCCAGTCCTTTAAGTATGCTAGGTTATATCCCATCCAGCCCTTCTGATCTGAAAATATCTAGCTTCTCTAAGTAAGCCCTAAACCTGTTCTTCCACTACTCTAGGCTGTTTTCTCACCTTCCCTATCTTAGCTGCCAATAGCATTCATGATCTGGTAACTGACATGACTTGTGAAGATGGGGTAAAAAGGCACTGAATACTTCAGTCTTCTCTATATCATTGCTTTCTAGACTGCCTTTTGTATTCAGTGAAGAAACCTACATTTTTCTTGGTCTTCCTCTTATTTCTGACAAACTTGTAGACTCCTTTAATCCTTTGCACTCCTTGCTAATTGCATCTAAAATTGCCTTGGTCTTCCTGATTTTCTTCCTGTATACCCATACAATACTCCTGTATTCCTCACTAGTAAAGTAGTCAAATATCCCGTTATTGTAGGATTCCTTTTTGAGTTTCAATTCAGTGAAGAGTTCATTGGTTAGTCAGGCTAGCCTGCTACACTTCCTATTTTTCGCATTGGGACAGTTTGCTCCTATACACTTAACAGAGCCTCCTTAATGTACAACCAGCTCTCATGGGCTCTTTTCCCCTTAGACTTGCCTCTCAGGGCCTCCTGTCCACCAGTTCCCTGAATTTACTGAAGTCTACTTTTCTGAAGTCCAGTGTATATTCTGCTGCTTTCTTTCCCTTAGGATCTTGAGCACTATCATTTCATGGTCACTGTCACTCGAATTACCTTTCACCTTCTCATTCTTAACCAATTCCTCCTTGTATTTGAGCAGCAAATTGAAAAGAGGTTTCCCCCCTGCCCAGCCTCATTGGCCTCTCTATCACCGGCATGAAAAAGTTATTCCGGACAATTCAAACATTTGATGGACTGCCTGTACGCTTCTGTGTTACCATTTCAGCAGATGTCACAGTAATTGAAGTACCTGATGAGGGCCACATCTTGCAGTTTGGAAACTTTGGTTAGTTTTTTAAAGAAAATGTTCTCCACCTCTTCCTTCTGGTGTGGTGGTCTATAGCAGACACCCAGCGTAACATCACCCTGTTGTTCTCTCCTCTGACCTTGACCCAGAAACTTTCAACAGACCTGCCTACTTTCCTCTTTGTACTTTGTCTCTCTTATTTATAGAGCACTTCAGATTTTCCCATGTTTGTCCTTCCTGAATAATTTATACCCATCCATTATGGGTATAAGTTATTGTACAAACATCCAGTTATACAAACTATCCTTCTGAATCTGTTATCCTAATTACATTAAAATTCTGATCGTCCTAAAACTTCCAGCTTTTTCTGCTTATTTTCCCATGCTTCCTGCATTAATGTATTAACATTTTAGGTAACTAACCTAATTTCTCTCAGAGAACATTATTAACATTTTTTAATTATAATTTTAATAAGTCTATTCATCTTGACTTTTTGGATGCTACAGTACTGCTCCTGACACATTTTATGTTTATGTTCCAAATAAATGTTTGTTTAACTCATTACAAACTGAAAACATGTAAGTGCGAGTGGCCTACGATTGGTTGCCTTTTTCATACAAAGAAATGTTTGTAATTCATTCTGACACAAAAATGTATGTTTCTTAGCCAGGGCAGTAGGGCCTCTAAACTCAGATACTTGTTTAAAAGAAACAAGGAGATCAAGAAAAGATTGACTAGAGTGTGTATATACTGGGCATGATACTCATAATCTTCAAATGTAATCCTCATGAGATGTCTGGAGATATTATAACCTTGATAATATAAAGAGTTGGTGACAGGCCCTGGGCAGATGAATGCATGGCATTTACATATACCAGTGTAAATTACACTGGAATGAGGAACAGAGAGAGATGTATAGCTATCTCAGAGTAGCTGATATGGAAGGTAACTATAACTGCTCTATGCTGCTAGACAGCAGGGGAGAAGAAAATAGCCTTTTTATCTTTATAAATGGCAGATGATTCTGGAACA